GAGAGAGAGAGAGAGAGAGAGAGAGAGAGAGAGAGAGAGAGAGAGAGAGAGAGAGAGAGAGAGAGAGAGAGGGTGAGGCTACTTCCATCGATACGATGAGCAAAATCGGCATGAATCTTCCGCTAGAACATCAAAATATACACTGCTTCCCAGCCATACGTGCAAAGAGATAGAGAGAGGCTACTTCGATCATTAACCAGCAGCGAAAAAAGACCCCGTTCATAAAGTCGCGCCAACACCAACTGTACCAAGCGCCCCCGAAAAAAAACGAACCAACGCGCGGGCCCGCCCGCCCAAAACAAAAACCGTATGAAACCGGGCACTACGTCTGTCCCATCCAACCGGCATGCGGGCCTCATTTTCCCTGGGCCCAGGGGAAGCGTCTTACCGGACCCTATCCTTCCTTTAGTAGATAGATAGATAGATAGATAGATAGATAGATTATTATTAAGATGTTGGGAGAGATCTTGGAGGTGGGAGATGGTGGTGAGTTGAGGGAGGAGTGGCATTGGTTCTTGCTTGTGTTCTTCTTCTTCTTCTTCCATTCTCCATTCTTCTTCGGCCTATGTCTATTTCTCTTTGTCAAACTCTTTCATTTTAATTGCAATTGTATGGCATTTTCTTTCCACTGTCAGATATCCGGGATCATAGCAGCAGAGAATACAATCAAACATCCACAGGGCATGGTCAAGCCTAAAAGATTCATTGACAACAACCACAGATCAAAGTCAAGGACCGGCCGGAATCCAAGTGCTCAAATCAATCCTGGCTGGACAAAGATAGCAAACTAGGAGTGCTGGACGGCCACCAGAATCTTAGATCGGGCCAATAGCTGCAAAAGGAAAATCTCTAGCAAGGGCGCGCCATCCAAGCATTCCCCACCTCAACACCAGATCAGAGCCTAATACCGATATCAGACCACTCAACCTCAGACAACTCAGAACCAAAACCACAAGATCACCCTCCTTCCCAATCTGAAGCATCCCCCCCCCCCCTTTCCCTCCCTAGTGATTCCCCCAGAAACCACCCCACCCCCCCTCTCCCCAATCACTGACACTGCCCTGTGCCATCCTCCCATCATACCATTCCCCACCTACCCCCCCAGCCCCGTCCTCTACATACCTGAGTGAGGTTACCTCCCTTTCCACCCTCCCCTCCCTACTGATCTTCTCCCAGGGACACCACCTTCCCCGCCTTCTCCCCAATCACTGACATCGCCCTCCACCATTTTCCCATCATACCCTCCCTCACCTCTCCCCCCCCCTTCCCACCCCTGGCCTTCCAATACCCGAGCGAGTCTATCTTTCTCCAATGCAAGTCCAAGCATTTTTCTCCACTGTGAATACTGTCTCTAGCCTGGGCAGGCAAGATCTGTACAGAGGGCACCTCCAAATGAAAGGATTTCACGCTGTGCCACAATCCCAAGTCCCAGTCCCGAGTCCCAAGTCCTAGGTCCCAGTCCCAAGTCCCAGGTCCCAGTCCCACGTCCCATTCCTAAGTCCCAGGTTCTAATCCCGCGTCACATTCCGTGTCCCATTAGTGGTTCCAGCCACTTGTACAATATGCACGAATACTCTAGAAGAGTAGGTGAGCTAGTTAAGTGGATCATGGTAGAAAGTCCTTCCGAGATAACAGTTATGGGTTTAGGAGGCATCACAACTTCAGCCAGGATTACCAGGGCCGTTAAGCTAGGTGTCAGTTGATCCACGCAAGCAGCCAAACCCAAGAAGAATGAGTTTCCAGAAGCAGGGAACAAAGGCAAGAGCGCCGAACCACAATCAACAGAAGATGTCTGGAAGGCGGATCAGCAAGTATAAAAACCCAGCAGCATCAGCAGGAAGGATCAACTCTTCATGTGCAAATTGTGGAAGTACTGCGGGTTACTTGTGCGACAGTGCGACGTAGATGGGACGGGGCACCAGGAGAGGAGCAAGTGCCCAGCGAGGAAGGAGACATCTTGTCACCACAACTAGGGAGAAGGAAGGAGACGGCCATAGCCGCGGAGGTTCGGGGAATACACCGCAGTTGTATTCAGGACAGATCCAAGAGGGAGAGAGAGGGAGAGAGAGCTTGAGCGCAGTGAGGTCAAGAGGACGAAGACTTAGCGAGAGAAGAGAGAAGAGACAGGGAGAGAGAGAGAGGGAAGCCAGACATCCAGGGAGGAGGTGTACCTGAGTCAGGACTGCAGTGTTGGTTACTTGAACTCTCCAATTGTAGACTTCTCATAATTTGATTGGGAACATATCTGGTGCTGATTCATGTGTCATCTCTCTGGTGCGGTGTGAACTTCCTGTGAATGCTCTCACCTTGCATGTTCGAGTTGGTTTGGAATTGCGAGGTTCATTGCACTGGTACCAGAGCTGGAGCCCGTTGCACTGCGGTGGTGGAAGAAGCTGGCAAGGTATAAGGCCGACGGGTGATTGCAGTATCAGGGTTTGACTGATGTAGGCGGCCGAAGACGAAGGGACTGTTGGAGGGTTGGAGAAGCAGAAGACGTACCTGGAAGACTGCAAAGACCAGCGAGGAGCGATCTGTTGAAGAGCTGAGTGAAGTAATTCTTGCCCTAAGCCCTCTTTGCAATTAATGATGTTTTTGGAACTCCCCACGTACTTTCTTGGTGACGGCTGCTGCAAGTCAATTTTGTTGATGTCATCTCCTTTTCGGAGTCAGCAGTCTTGTGAATGCTTTAGGTCTAGCGTAGGAGCTTGGCAGCTGGAGGCACGACCTGTGCAGTAGGGAGCACAGGCATGAGCGACAGGCGCTCGTAAACTAACCCAGCCAGCCTAATGACCAGTACCGACTGGCGTGCAACCGAACCAGGCAGAGCATTGAGGAGCTCTTAAGTCTTGAGAGCGATCCTCCCTACATGGTGGTCACAACATCTTGTCTACGTCATTAAACAATTCCTGAGGTCCTTGCTGGCAGACCTTAAACAGCTGGTTGGCCACCAGTTTGTGGAGGAGCTGTAGTGACAGGCATGGGGAAAGGGAAGTAGACCAGTCATACTTCGAATTAGGTTAGGTTAAGTTTTGAGTTTGTAAGTGTTGAGGGTTAGGTCTAAGTGGTGAGGAGGTGGAGTTGACTCACCTTTGTTGTGCCTTTAAATCACCCTGGTGACCACTAAGTCCGGAACTGTGCCCCAGCCGTTGACCTCAGAGGAGCACAGGATAGAGGAGATTTTAAAGCAAAGCAAGGAGGACAAGAAAAGAGAAAGAAGAAAAGCGAAAGAAAAAAAGAGAAGAGAAGAAGGAGAAAGAAAAGAAGAGACTGGAGGAGGAAAAGAGGAAGCTAGAGGAGAAGTTGAAGGAAGTAGAGGAAGAAGTTGAAGAAGAGGAAGAAGAAGAAGAAAGGGAGGAGGAGAAGTTGGAGAGACCAAGAAGGGGTGCAATCCTAATAACGGTCCCGAAGGACCCGGGACAGACCAGTGAGCACCGCCCAGGGTCTAGACATGAGGAGGAGCAAGAATGGGCAAGAACATTTTACCTGCCCGGGATTCAAACATTGGATGAGCTACTGGGGAATGTAGCTCACTGTGAGAAAGAGTTGCGAGTGCTGTATGGGGAAAATGTGCAGATGGCCGAGGTAGAGGCCCACATGGAGGCCACGCAAAAGGCCATCCAGCAGAAAAGGAAGGAGGCCGCAGCGAGGAAGAAACTGCTAGATGATGGGGCGGCCATAGCTACGATGTTGGAGAAGCAGGCAAAAGGAGAGAAGGTGTAAGATGTGAAAGACCACATTGGACTGTTGACTGAAGCTGCGCTCCAGGCGGCCCGGAAAACCGCAGCACTGCGCACCGCCGTTGACCGATTAGCTGCACAACACGATGCGTTTCGAGGTAAATGGAATAACTTTACCGCAACCACACTCCGCACAGTCAATGATAAGGTGACCCAGGTCCTCATGGGGGTAGAACGGTATATCGGCGAGACTTGTGTGTTGAAGAAGGGAGCTGGTGGAAGTGGTGGTCCCCCTGATGGTAACGATGGTGACTATGATGACAAAAATGGAGTTAAGAAAGAAAGGAGACTAGGGAAGGAGAAGAAGAATGACGAAGATGAGGAGGAGGCCAAGGACAAGATCAAGATGAAGATGCCTTGGACCTGTAACAGGAAAAAGGAGGAGAATTTCTTGCAATGGGAGGCGGTCGTGAGGAGTTATGTGCACGGCCAGAAGGTGGTGAGAACAGGCCAGGTGATGTTCGATGCCTCTTGTCTTGGCGGCGACATGGCAAGCTACTCAGCATCCCTCATAGAGAACGCCGGTTGTGGGAGAGATATCGTTGTCGAGTACCCCCGCACCACCTCCTTAGACACCTACTTAGACGCCTTGTATAAACGGTTTGACGATAAGACAAGGGGAAGGCGTACGGTGGCGAAGATTCTGAATGTGTATAGGGGGAATTGGAAGAGTGTGCACGCCTTGAAGGCGTATATGGATGAGTTGCTGCAAGTCCCTGACCACGGCGTCATGCCGAAGCAAGTGCTAGAGTACTTTGCCATGGCACTGCCCAAGCCTCTTAAGATGCAAATGTATCCGCACGTTGCTGCAGAATGGGCTACTTGTGCCGATTTTAGTAAGGACGCGCTGGTCCGATGGGGGTTCCTGGCACAGGCCAACTTCCACTATTTCAAGGACATCGAGAGGGGGAAGAAGTGGAAGGGCAGGATGATCTTTGGCAACGTGCAGGACGGAGACAAACTCTTGGTGACGCTTGAGGAAGGGGGTGCAGAAGAAATTCCCGTTGAGCAAGTAGATTACGGTCACCTAGAGTACGAGCAGCAGTTAGAGGGCGGTCAAGTAGTTGTAGGAGGCAACTATACGACCGTAGCAGCCCACGGGGGAGGGCAAGGAAGAGGAGGCCGACGTGGAAGAGGAGGTCGGAGAAGGGCTACTCAGGGGTTTGAAGGCCAAGGGGGCTTCCAAGCGGGTGGTAGGGGTTATGGTACCCCGCAAGGTAGTCAAACATCCCCCGCTTCGCAAGGAAATGGACGGGGTAACCATGCCCTCTCCAACGAGAGTGATCAGGGATCTAGAGGGCAGCGTAGGTACCCTCACCATCCAGGACTCGAAGAACTCGAGCCCTGGAATGCTCTAAATATATCAGAGGACATATGGCGTCAGAGGCAGAAAAGGAGACAGTGGTTTAAGTGTGGAGACCCCAATCACATCGTTCCCTTTTGCCCGTTATACCGACGACCATCAAATGGAAACGACCAATTGGAGTCGTGGCTGCTCCTACAGGGGCCTCATACTTTGATAGACAAGAAGAAGAAGCGCTGAAGTAGGAACCTGTTGTTTGAGGACCCCAATGGCAAAGGATGATGTAGGCCCCCACCCAGTCGATTGTCGAGAGACCGCTTGTGTCAAGGTCTCTCTGGGTGGTTCCCTCGCAGGCATCGGTGATGAGCTCATCACTCGTCGTCAAGCCTGCGCCGAGATGAAGAAAAAGTCAAACGGACATGTAATACTAGCAGATGTAGAAGTTAGTAGAACCAGGATAGGCGCGTTGGTGGATTGCGGTTCGACGCGTAGCTATATTGGTAGGAAAGGATTAAAGAAACTGCATTTAGGAATGAAAGTGCAGAAGTTGGAACAGTCGATAGTAAGCAAACTAGCAGATAACCGAGAGATGAGAGTAGATGAATTCGTCGAGGGGGTGAAGGCATACTTCCGGCTGGACGGAGAGAATAAGAAGTAAGAAAAAGCGTTGCATTCTCTGACCCTTCTAGTAGAGGACAGTCTAGCCTTTGACATGTTGCTAGGAACGGATTGGGGAGAAGCCGCGAAGGCCGATGTGAAGATGGGTGAGCATGAGTGTTGGCTGCCCAGTCCACAAGGTGGGAAGAAGAAGACCAGACTCTTCCATGAGTCCGGAGTCCAATCCGCTCTTTCGTTGTGTTGCATGAGAGCCCCCGCGCTCGCTAGGCACATGGTCAAGCAAGACCTTGTTGACCAAGTCTTTATTGCATATGTTAGACTGGTTAGTGAAGAGGAGGAACTAGTACCGCCCCAAGTCCAAAGTCTGTTGAGCGAGGTCACGGACATAGGAGAGACCCCGACCGGTGTAGTGGAAAGAGAGATCAAGCACTACATCGACATTGAGCCCGGCAGCAAGATTCCCAAGGGTCCGATCTACAGACTGTCTGCCAAGGAGTTAGAAGAGTTGAGGAAGCAGCTAGACGAACTAATTGAGAAGGGGTGGATTAAGCTAAATTCCTCGCCCTACGGGGCACTGGTCCTATTCGTGCCTAAGAAGGAAGGCGAACTGCATATGTGCATAGACTATAGAGGACTAAACGCTATAACTGTCAAGAATGCTGAGCCGCTGCCCAAAATAGACGATCTATTAGACAAAGTGGAGGGGCGCAAGTACTTCTCAAAGATAGACTTGAAGTCAGAGTACCATTAGATAAAGGTACAGCTTGAGGATCAGCACAAGATGGCATTTATGACTACCGTCTTCATCCGAATAGAACGCCTGATCATTATCGTTGCATATGGACTGAAAGTTGAGCAAAATGCAGCTATAATGACCGGGTGTTCTATTCGGGTGAAGACGGTAGATATGGCCACTACGAGTTCGTAGTCATGCCGTTTGGGCTGGCCAATGCCCCTGCCACTTTCCAACGATGCATGAATGATATGTTTAGAGAATGGTTAGACAAGTTCGTCATCGTTTACTTACACGACATCCAGATATTTCATAAGACACTTGAGGAGCACCAAGAGCACCTTCGACTGATTATGAACAAGCTTCGTGAGGCTAAGTTCAAACTGAATCCCAAGAAGTGTGAGTGGGCAAAACGTCAAGTGTTGTACTTGGGTCATGTCGTAGACGGAGATGGGGTTAGACCGGAAGATGTGAAGATTGCAGTGATTAGAAATTGGCCGACCCCGCGCACATTGACTGAATTGCGGTCGTTCCTTGGTCTAGCCAATTACTACAGGAAGTTTGTGCGCAACTTCACTACGATTGCTGCCCCATCGCGTCGACTACTGCGAAAGGAAGTTGTTTGGAAGTGAGACAAAGACTGCACGTCCACTTTCAAGAAGTTAAAGAAGTGTTTAATAGAGTACCCGATCCTAAAAATAGCTGATCCATCACTACCGTTTATTGTCACCACTGACGTTAGTCAATACGGCATTGGCGCAGTCCTACAGCAAGACGACCACGATGGATATAGGCCGGTTGAGTTCATGTCGCGTAGGTTGCCGTGTGAAAAGGTTGTTGCATCAACCTATGAGAGGGAACCGTTCGCCTTGAGAGAAGCCCTAGCCCACTGGCGACACTACTTACTAGGACGACACTTTAAGGTCTATTCCGACCATGAGACATTGAGTTGGCTCAAGACTCGGGCCCGAATGTCTACTAAGTTAGCTAGGTGGGCCACTGAGATCGACGAGTTCGGCTTCGAACTCAAGCCTGTCAAAGGCAAGTACAATGTTGTTGCTGATGCACTTAGTCGACGCACAGACTTCTTTGGAGCCATAGCCACGTACCTAGACGCAGGTGTCGAACTACAGTATAAAATTTGTGATGCATACGAAGAGGACAAAGTCTATAGGGAGATTCTTTGCAAAGTGCAGGCTGCACCGCACGAAGAGCCTAATTATAGAATGGCCGATGGATTACTGTTTGAGAAAACTGATAAGGAAGATAGGTTGTGTGTACCAAACAGTGAAGAAATATGCATTCTAATACAAAGGAGAGTGCCACGACGCAGAGGGCCATTTCGGATGGAGGAAGACTTACGCTAACCTCCTCAGGTCCTACACATGGGTTGGGATGAAACAAGACTTTATCTTGTATATTCAAGGCTGCAAAGTTTGTCAGTGGAACAAGAGTTCGACGCAGCCTCCCCTAGGAATGTTGAAACCACTTCCTATACCATCGTGACCGGGAGACTCACTGTCTATAAACTTTATGGATACTAACGTCAAGAGTCGAAGTGGTAAGACTCAAGTGATGGTCATAGCTAACAGGTTAAGTAAATTTGTTGTTTTTGTTCCGCTGCCCGCTGAGGCCAAGACATAATTAGTGATCTGCAAATTCTTTGATCACTAGGTTGCAGAGTACAAGCACCCCCTAACTATAATAAGTGATAGAGATACTAGATTCACCAGCGAGCACTGGCAACAGCTTATGAAAATCTACGGGTCTAGACTGACCATGTCTTCAGGCAGGCATCCCAAGACTAACGGGCAGGCAGAACAGATGAACAAACTACTACAGCAAGTGCTTCACATGTACATTAGGCCAGATCAGATAGACTGGGATGAACTCCTACCAAAGGTAGCTAGTGCCTACAACAACTCGGTGCACCTAGCAACTAACCGGACACCCAACGAGCTGCACAAGGTGTGGCGACCACGATGACCGATAGATTGCCTTAATCCAAATCAGACTCAGAGGCTGCCGCCTGGCACTAGAGAGTTTGTTGTCCGCTACGAGAAGGAGGTCCGGAAGGTTGCTGAGAACATCCGGAAGGCCCAGCATCAGATGGTAGAGCAAGCTAACAGGCACCGCAGACCGTCTAAGTTCGCGGTTGGTGATCTTGTCTGGGTCAAGTCTAAAGAATTCCTTCCGGAAGAGAACATTTCTCAGAAATTACTACCTGCATATTGAGGACAGTGGGAGATTTTAGATGTCATTGGAGACGCAGACGGTCCCTCCTATACAATTGATATTCCTTTGCACTTGCACACGTACCCAGTGTTTCACGCGTCCAAGTTGCTGCCCATGTCACTAATGACCGCTTCCCTTCACGCAGAACAATGATCCCTCCTGACATGGATGGGAGATATGACATAGATCGGATTCTAGAGGAGGATGTCTACAGGACAGGCAGAAGGGGTAGACCGCAGCGACAGTACAAAGTTCGGTTTGCGTATCAGGAACCAGAAGATGACCGTTGGTACACTAGGGAGGAGTTGATGGAGACTCCACCCCATATTGTGTCCTATTATGAGCGTGCCCGAAGGGGTATTGACATCATAGACAGGTAAAGATAAGATATTTCTCGGAGGACCTCGAAATTAGGCCGGCAGGAGTGAAAGGATTTCACGCTGTGCCACAATCCCAAGTCCCAATCCCGAGTCTCGAGTCCCAGGTCCAAGTCCCAAGTCCCATGTCCCAATCCCGAGTCCTAGGTCCCAGTCCCAAGTCCCAGGTCCCATTCCTATGTCCCAGGTTCTAATCCCGAGTCCCATTCAGTGTTCCATTAGTGGTTCCAGCCACTTGTACAACATAAACGAATACTTTAGAAGAGTAGCTTTCATTCGTACCATGATTGCAGAGGCCGAGCTAGTTAAGTAGATCGTGGTAGGAAGTCCTTCGGAGATAACAGTTATGGGTTGAAAAGTCTGTCTTTAAGAGGCATCACGGCTTCAACCAGGATTACCACGGCCTTTAGGCTAGGCGTCAGTTGATCCACGCAAGCAGCCAAACCCAAGAAGATTCCGTGAGTTTCCAGAAGCAGGGAACAAAGGCAAGAGGGTTGACCCATAACCAACAAAAGATGTCTGGAAGGCGGATCAGTAAGTATAAAAACCCAGCAGCATCAACAGGAAGGATCAACTATTCATGTGCAAATTGCGGGAGCACTGCAGGTTACTTGTGCAACAGTGCGACATGGATGGGAGGGGGCACCAGGAGAGGAGCAAGTGCCCAGCGAGGAAGGAGACATCTGGTTACCACAGCTAGGGAGAAGGAAGGAGACGGCCCTAACTCTGGAGGTTCGAGAAATACAACACAGTTGTATTCAGGGCAGATCCTAGAGGGAGAGAGAGGGAGAGGGAGAGCTTGAGCGCAGTGAGGTCAAGATGACGAAGACTTGAGCGAGAGAAGAGAGAAGAGACAGGGAGAGAGAGAGAGGGAAGCCAGACATCAAGGGAGGAGGTCTTGAGTACATACCTGAGTCAGGATTGCAGCGTTGAGTTGGGGCAACTGCCACTGGTTACTTGAAATGCACACCTACATATTGTTCATGATTGACCAACCAGACCGAGTGGGATCCTGCCACTTGGTGATAAGAAGAGTTAATATTTCCCACCATGTGCACCCTACTGTCATTCTCTCTATGGGTCAATGAGTTATCTGCAAAGGAAACAGCACTGAGATGACCTGGATGATGCAGAATGCACGCACAAACATTTGTGTCCATGTCTGGTGAACTGAGAGCTCTTCAACTTAGAGACAGAATGATTGAGTATGAGTTAAACGAATCAATGACTAAATACTTTTTCGCAAGAATAAAAGCCAATAACAGATCAAGTTCCATAGAAGGGCTCAAAGAGTTGTTGGTCAAACAGTCCACAAGAATAGACAGCGAGGGGATGTTGGAAATTGCCAAAGGTTTTTACCAAGAACTGTACAATACAACGACTCCCTCCCCTTCCCCCACGTCAGTAAGGGAAGCGAGAGCAAAGACAAAACAAGCACAGGCGCTAAACAGACTGTTCACCCTAGAAGAACTGAGAGTCGCAGTTCACGGCATGAACAATGACAAAACCCCACGTATTGATGGTCTCCCTAAAGAATTTTGGGAGTTCTCGCCCATGATGGGAAATGATCTCCTCCATTTCTATGAAG